TTCTGAGATATTGATTTTCCATAGTAATCGGCCCCAAAACTTCCTGAACTCAGAAAAGCGACACTAAGATATCCGGTACCTAATATATAATAAGAAGCTGACTTCCCTTAAGGTAAAAACCGATAATGGAGTGATAGCAAGCTAGCAAGCTTCAGAACACTCTAAATAAGCAGAATGGGAATCTTGCTGAAGAATATAATTTGGAGCTTCTATTTGTTTGAGTTAGCTTTGACACACAGCGATTTTATTCGATGGATCTTTAAGACTGTGCAGCATTCACTTCCTTACGGCACGACGGAAATTTTTATTTTCAAAATATTGCAGAGAAAGAGGTTATGGCCTTTAAACCGTGAATCCTGCGCTGTTGTAGGATTTTCCTCACTAATTATCCCAGAAGGTATTTATCACTTTTTTCTTCTTTTCTTTGCAGATTCAGTACATGTCCTGAACCTCATGGTTCATTATGTTTCATCAGCCCAGCTCCGGGGGGGGGATAAAAGAGGTACGCGTCTAGGACGTTTGGCTTCTCGAGCTTCGAATCTCGCTTCGGCTTCGGTTCCCTACTCAGAGGAACACAAACCACTCCGGTCAATGCAAGCCAACCAAGCACCAAGGACTCGCTTGTAATTATACCAGTGTCCATTGTATAATAAAAAGAATTTGTCCAAAAGTGTTCAATGCAGAGTAAAGGAAATAAATAGAGTGAACCCGCAGTTAGCCCGAAACTCGAGGCATATTCAAAAACATCTCAGAAAGTACTCGAGGAAAAACTTGCAAATCTTCCTTTAGATTTGTAAGTTTGTCCTCGAGTACTTCCTAAGATGTAAGAATAATACGATCATTTGAATCTGCTTTTTCTTATTCTTCTTTAGCGTTTGTCCCGCTTGGTGGCAGGGTCCGCTTTTCTGATGTGTTGACGCCACTTTTCCCGATTGAATGCCTGATCGGGATGGATACCAGCTAACTTTAAGTCCATATGCAACGTATCAAGCCAGCGCTGCTTTGGACGTCCCTTAGGCCGTTTTCCGGGCACATCGATGTTGAGGCTCATCTTACGCACAGTGTCATCGTTTCCACGAAGCACATGACCATACCATCGAAGACGAGCTTCGCGCATTTTATCAGCAATAGGAGTCACACCGAAGCAGTCTCGTATGGTGTCATACGGTCATTTGAATACGCGTTCAATATTCAACCTCATGAGCGTGTGTAGCTCTAAAGGCAACACAAGTATTGCAATGGCAATCACTTCTCTTTACAGAAAATATGTAGGGAAAATTTGGTAGGGAGGAGCGTATCCCAGTTTTCCTCAACGCCTCGCTTAACTCTTGTTTAACACCCAGACGCCCTAGCCAGCTCCTGTAATACTCGTTGACAAAACAAAAATGGATGAACTCGTTTCTGAAACTCTTTTGGGTCATTCCTGCTCAAAGTGAGGAAACATTTATGGTGATAAGAAGATGACTGGCTAATCAACTGATGTGATTTATTATTTTGTTTATCACGATCGCGAAGGAAGATTGTACGCATTCAGAATTCTGGACAGTACTTATATTTCTTGCAGACATCCTTGGCGGTCGCGCCGTGCTGAAATATGATAACTTTTGACAAGAATTAGTGATCCGCTTGACATTTGATCCGTACTCTCCCGTAGGGTGTACAATAATGTGCGGCACGCATGTCCTCAAGAACCGCCTGACGCCATCAACGTCTAACCCTTTCCTACTGGATCGACAAACAGTAAGACACCAAATGTCAGATCGAGACCCATCTATAATACTCGGTTCCAAGTAAAAAGAAAACAAACCTGCAGCTCTTTCATTATTGTGCTCATATTATTGCAGAATGGAGCAGTATACGGTGGCATATTCTTTCCGCATATGTCTTTTTTAAGAACCTGTAATCATCGATACGTGTGTAGCATGTCGAGGAGGGTCTATCGAAATAATTAATTTATGGGTAATTCAGAAGTTTTGAAATCTTCGTATTTCTATTCGCGTAGAAGTCGCCTCAGTGGGGACACGCACCTGTTGGGTTGTTTAACCCTTCGACTACTTGTGGCATACATGTGTACCACTTCCGTAGTCAAAGTCACTACCACAGTTTTGGCACTTATTGAGATCGGAGGGCCCGCTTTATGGCGGAATTGTGCACAACTAGAAACTTGGTAATTCTCTGTCAGCGAAGTATCAGAAGTCTAAGCGAGTTACGCTGGATAAGTGATAAGCAAGTCGTTCCACAGGTTCACTGGGCAGTGTGCACAGCTCCCGAAAAGGTAGTTTCGAGTCTCACACTCTTTGTATTGTGTTAATGGTTCTAATATTTCCCTCAATTATTGTGAAACAGGTGAAACATAAGCAAACCGATGACGGATGGAGGTTTTTATCGGCCGCAAGCCAGTTAGAGGACGACAGCGTTTTACGACTGCGTTGGAAATTCCAACCTCCGGAGTTTTGTCAGTTCGTTTGATGCGGAAGTGGTAGTAGAACACTCCTATGACGCAGCTTTCGAGCATAAAAACCAGCGAAAATTCGTTAGAGGAGAAGCAGCCGGTGGGCGCAGCCTGTAGGCAGGGGAGCAGCACTTCTACAAAGTGCGGCTTGCAATTCTTTTCAAGTGCGTTCCCAACCGGACATTGCCTTGTTCCACGAATGAGATGTGATAAATGTGTATTTGTTGAATGGTATTTGAACTGTTCAAAAATGCTCATTCGAGCGGAGATGGTGTGGTGACAGGAGGGGCCACTGCCGCGCATATGGTCTCTGGATCGAATCCCAGCTCAAACCCAGCGCGCGTCAGCCAAATTTCTACAGATGATTAGTTGTTGCTAGGAGCGACTGTTACTACACAAAACACATCGATAACTTGTTTCTAAAAAAGTCGTAGTCTAAGGGTTAAGACGTCCTGCACGAACGTAAAGGGCCTTCACTGTCATTAACATCCAATGGTTCTTGCATTTGGAAGGAAAAGCAGCAAAAGGGCTGCGTCATTGTGTACTTATTTCTCTAGCATTTGCCATTGATCAATCCCTTTTTGGGATGCGGCACGCATTCTACTTCCATTTGTACATTCGTAGTGGCGTTTGAATGCGATGTGGCCTATACAATGACTTGCGGGGGCCAGCCGATGTACAAGTCAGTGTTTTTTATCCTCCCAGACAAGTCTGGTACCAATTAACCGACCCCGGAGGGATGGAAGGCTTGGTTGGCCCGGGCGACTCACGACCCAGGATTTGATCCCCGGACCGCTCGCGTGGTAAGCGTGCCACTTGCCACTACACCACTTCCGCCCCCTACACCGAATTTTGATGAATGAAAAAATCATGATTCGTTTTCTTATGCATTTTGCATCCTATTGTATCTGTGTTATACTATTTCTTTGTTTCTTTTAAGGAAACCGAAAGACCATCAAAGTTCATCGAGTGAAATAGCAGGCGAAACAATGAGCTCATAGATATTTGTGCCTGAAAACACACGCTTCTTTCAGAAACAACACTAACCACGCCCTCCTGTGCAGAGTGCGACTTACGCACTTCAAGAACTTTTCACCATGGCAAATAACTTTGAGTACACGCGATTCAGCAAATGAGCTGCGATAAACAGTGAGCAATAAAACAACCTCAATCTGTGGAACTAGAGAGGGTTCTATCATACTTCCCTAAATTTCCGACTCGCATTCACACCACGGCGATTTCAGCCCTTGGAATTCATTTTGACGCCGTCGTGCGCGTTGGCGCTATCTTTCGATTCCGTAAAACAAGTGATGAGCCACAAGTTCCTTGGAAGTTGAAGCCATGTAACGGCAATAAAACTTGCAAATTCCTGACTGAGAACTAGAAATGTTTCAGTCACAAGAAATTTGGTAGATGTTGCTTATAGAAATTACTGTCCGCGGGCATACAAGCTATGCACGCAAGCTGTGAGCTTCAGTTGGTTTTTCAGCATGAAACGTTCAGCCAACCATAAGCATCCACTAGGAAATGATAAGACCTCAACTGAGGCCTTTCTCGAAACACACGAAAAAATGGAAGTTTTCAGTGCTCTTCTAGATTATCGCTGTTCAGAAAGACAGCTAGAAGTAAAGCTGCCGAACAGATTTTCTGATTAATCGGATGCGGAGAGATTTTTCAGGAGTCTCTGCTGCATATGCCATAGATGATTAATTATAACTGCACTTTTTAGGGTTTCTATTTCCAAAACATAAAAAATTGATCAGATCTTACAAAATGAATGAAAATGAATTTTCTAGAAAACAACCAGCATCCATATCAGACAGCCTAATAGATGCAATCTCTATAATAACCTCATTATATTCTACTAGGCTAGTAACCTCATTATATACTACTAGGCTAGGAAAAAAGTCGTCAAACATTTTTACCGTTTGTGATTTTATTTTTGAATTTTTTAGTAAGCACAGGCTCAATCAATGGTACTTACAGTAGCGGCCAGAAAAGTTTGCCAAAACGGTTTTCCGTCATTCTCTATTTTTTGCCGGAAAAAATCAATGGTGGCCTTGGAAATTTTTTCTTTTGAATATCCTGATTTTTAAGACTTGAGGATATGAAAGCACTAGGGAACATAGTATATCAATCTTCAGAAGGGTGTTGCTCTGACGAGAAAAAATAATGCTTCCCCGAATGCTTGCGGGGACGAAAGTCCCTTTAAATTTTTTGTTTTGAACGACACTGTTTCTTTATTCTCAATGCATGTTTACTTTAAGCAACACACATATATTAGATGTAGGCCCTTTATCAGGACAATCCCAGTTGGGACGACAGAGAAAATTTAAAGGAACTTTCGTCCCCTAACCCTTCGGGGAAGCATACCTTACGGCCCCAGAAAAAAATAATGCCCTAAAAATCGTTTCGGCGAACACTTTTGGCCGCTACTGTATGTTCGACGCCCATTACTTGCACGCGACGCTCAGCGATAAAGCTTTCATGCTCCTTCTACGCAACGTAGACGGCTGTGAGTCGGAATAGGGCCACCTTGTCGTCGGATTGAGTTGATCGTCGAGTTTTTTGAACGGAAATGAAAGTTCCGGACTCAAAACATGTGGTGCGTGATCTGGACAATTCACAGAGTGGAGCAACGAGCTAGGCGCTGAGACCCAATCGTATTACTGGCGTTGGTGAAACTCCAGTTCGGGGGGGGGGGGCACTCCATTTTTTCTCCAATACTCAAGATAAGGATTAGAGGGCTCACGACACGTAATCGACTCATTTAAAGTAGACTTCTGATAAATATTGGTGTAATGGGTGAGAAACCCTGAAACGTTTTCACATTTCCGCCTGCCATGACCCAAGGGAACGGTCCTGGACCAGGAGAAAGGACACCTCCGCAAAGGGCTAAGGGTGCAGGAGCTCCAGGGTGGATCACCTGTGCAGAAAAGTGGATGGGATGTGGGCAGGTAGTGTGGAATGTAGGACATCCACCGGTCCTTATCAAAAGTACGCTCGAAATGAGTCGTTCACTTATTATCTTATCCGTAGTGTTCGATAGCCCAAAGAACTGCTCTCTAGTACTACGGATAAGATAGCAATGGAGTCCCCCCCCCGAACTGGAGTTTCACCCTGACGTTTGTGACGAACTAAATTGGGCAAATATTGGAGTTTTCCAGAAGAGGTTTCCTCAGCCACAGCGGTACCGATATTGAAGAATTTCCGGTTGAATTTCTCTAACAATATCAGTGATAAAGATTTTGCGTGCGGTTGATGGCGTAGGAGGTCGACGGCGTCGACTCAGGTGGAGTACGCTAAATGAGGAATGGCATTCCTACTAAACGTATTGCGGCCACTGTTGGTCGCCATCGCGAAGACGTAACCGCACAGAGATTCATGGGATGTTGACCTATAAAAGTAGCAAGATCAGATTGAAAAGTGGCCGAAGTTTTTGTGCCCCTGGTAGTGACTGTTCGTCTATCTATCCCACGGGTGGAAGCAGCGAAAATGTCCTCCTATGTGCTGCTCATAAGTTTTATCTAGACATCTTAAGGTTAGGAAGAAAACAAGAAATATGTGGTGAGTGTTGTGAATCTCGCTTTCCAACCAAATATTTATGCTTACCCCTTCGATGATCGATTGGCTTTTCCTCTTCAGTTGCGCCTTCAGTGCGTCCATCTTGATCTCACATCTCTTGCACAGGTTCTTGGTGTTGTCGGAGAGGCACGAGGATATCATAAAAGCGAACACAAGCGCAATGATGAGAGCGAATTTCATTTTGAGCGCTCTTCTCGACTGTGATTAGTCTGAGAACGAGATCAGATGCGATAATTAAGAATGATAAATGAAGATGATTCTCTGAAAAATGGATTGTCCGTGACAAAGGAAACGAAACATCAAAATGTGGCCGTTGATATTCCCTTCTAGAAAACCCCACGCTAGAAGCGCATTTGCCAACACGCTATCCTCCGATGATCAGTCATTTCTGGGAATATTCCTTTTACCAAGGCAACCCGGCACAAAATAGTCCACGCTAGAGAGCGTATCCGACAATCCCAAGTACCTCCGATCAGTCCAGATGGACTTCACAGCGCCGCGCTGGTACTTGGGGTGTAGGAAGACAAGAGCATTAAAAATGCGATGCATGCGTCCAAATATAGCGACGTTCGTTTTGGCATAGCTATATGCCTAGGCGATGAGTGCTGAAGCTTCCTACCACACAAGCCCTCAATATGCTTAGGACGCCCTAGGTTTTTATACGTAACTCGATTTTAGGTGATAAAAGAAATTCATGTCTAACCAGGAAAGGTCATTTGGTCAACCCGGCCAATTGAAATGAGATGTATATAGTATACGCGCCTTGGGACGCTGAGCTCAAATATGTGTTCCTTATCTGCTGAACTCTTCTCTGAAAGGAATTATGAAGCAGAAAAGCGCAGGGGCTGTGGTCGAGGCTCACGAAAAAGAGGTCAGGGGATCAACTCCCTGGCGAGTTTGTTCTTTTGCCGTTTGCAGTAAGATAGCTAGGAAGACTCCTAACATTGCTAGTCCAACATGCTTGCGTATAGTTAACAGTACAAAGAATTTGAGGGCAATTAATAATGAACTTGGGCGGCACCGCTCCTCACTACTTTGGGCGCTTGTAGCGCAGGCGCCAGGCATTTTTGCTTCGAACAAGTATGATATTCGTAATCAGGGAGTCAGACTCTCCCTTTGAGCGAACTTCTAGCGAATTCTGAAATTTTGACCTAACCTCGAAAATTTGGGCAGTCACTTACTCACCGATCCACCAATCCATTACAAAAGGCTGGCACTTGGGTAGAATAAACCTTTTGAAGACTTTCCATAATAGACGAAAATTGTGTCTGGCGTTGCCCGTCTGCATCATCCAAAGATCTGCAAAGGCATTATTTCCTAATACAACACCTTCTCTCCCCTTCCCCGTCGTCCATGATTGGTCAACCCAAAAAAGTGGAGTTTGAGGAGTGGTAATCCCATCACTGCTCCGCTTTTTCTCAATTAGTTCGTGACCTCAGATTTGGCGAAAAACTCGTTTTAGGGGTAGTTTGATCCCCTGAATACGAATATCGTACCTACTTGCCACGGAAAAGCATAGCACCTGCACTACGGGCACCATGGGCACTCACAGACAAGTAGTGCTTAAACTTAAGAGGATCTGCTTGCAAACTCTTCGTAGATGTAGCGTCGGGCGACCGTTGATAAAATAACGGATTCAAAAAGGCTTTTCAGCCATGTTGGAAAAAAAGCAAAACACCAAACCCGGGAGGAACCGAACCCCGACCCTTACTTGAGAAGCAAGACCGCTACCAACTGCGCCACTGAGCCACGGTTCTCCTTTCGATACTTTTATAATGCAGCTAACATGTGATTGCAGGCAAGACACTGAAAATCAAGGGCGGCAACAAAAACCCTCCGTAACTCCTTTCAGAGAAGAGTTCAGCAGATAATGAAAGCAGATTTGAGTTCAGCGTCTCATGCTGCGTACAGAAATGTGCACCTCATTTCATTTGGCCGGGTTGGCCTAATGACCTTTCCTGAAAAGAAAACGAGATCCTGAACGGATGAGTGCACGCGAAAGTGATACTTGCAATCGCTTTTGTATGTTCTGAAAACGGAAAACAGCCAAATGCTCTGAGCAACTGCGCCGGATCGCTTGAAACAGTGGCTAGAATAAATAGCCCGATATTTCCTATTCTGAATATTTCGCATAGACGGCAACCGTAAAATGTTATTTCGGCCGGTAAATGTTAGATCGTAAAATTTTCGTTGCAGATTATTGGTCGTGATGCGAAATCGTGAATTTCCATAACATAAAAATCCGTTCGAGAACAGCAAATGAACATTTTCTCGCTAGGGAGGCAACAACCAAATGCATGCTTAACCCAGTGGTGAATTTAGAGTAAGCTTATCCTTGGAAACCCAATGTTTTCCAACTCTTGGCAGCGCGTCAAAAAAGCTTCTCTTCTCTTCTGTAATGGAAGAGAAACGAGTCATAAACAGAATCCACTCCAGAGGTGCCTTATGCTAGTCCACTGCTCCCCCCTCCACTCCAATAACAATGTGAGCAATGTGAGTACATCTTCCCATCACATACATAATCGTCCAACTGATCTGCCTCTATAGAAGAAGCATAAAAGCACAGCAAGTAGTGTGACATATAACGTAAAAAGCACTGACATTTCCCCCACATTCTGCTTTCTAACATTTCTGATCCTGCTTAGATGTGATGATTTTTATTCAGAAAGGAAGAAGGTTGAACAGGAGTGGTGGAGAATGGAGGCAAAACTCACAGAAAAAGAGGAAAGTTGGGAAAAGAAACTAGTAAATAGAAAATAGTAAATAAAAAGAAATAGTAAATAGAAAATAGGCCATGCTCCAGGATCAAATTGGCGTGGTTATTGCACGCGAAGTTGAATGTATTGGTGCGAATTGGGCTGGAAGTAAAAAAAGGAAAAAATCCGTTAAAAATACCAAGGTTATGGGCTCACTCACCTACGAAGCCAGCTGTGTTAAGGAATGGGAGATTAAGCGCGGAGAGGAGTATATGAGGCGAGGAGCGCACTACAGATGAGAGAGTCGCTAGACAACAGCCTGATAAGAGAAAAAAAATTAGAGCTGCTGAGTCTCACTTTGCAAGGCCCTAGTGCCATTGTCAGCCTTGACTTCCGTGCACGGGAATGCCAAATCTGTAATTGTCCTCTACGGGTTTGCATAACGGAGGGAACTTGTTCACAAGACTTCTGGGCCTGTGCCTTTAAGGCAGAACAGTAAGAATACAGAGTTTGAAGTATATTCAACAATAACAAAACAATTTCTATAAAAACCAAACCCAGCAATTACCAGAGGACATTCAGTGGCCACCAGAGTGAATTAGGTGCCTCAGTGCTCCGAAATATTTATTTGAGATAGGGCTAAATTATATATCTGAACAAAACCAAATCTAAATGTCGTAATTGTGTTGGAAACTTCACTGTTTATAGGACATCTCTACTCGTCCCACGTACACTACCTTTGAGACGGTATTATAGTGGCCATAAATTTGGCAATAGAAAGTGTTTGTTGCTGAGAGAAAGCGATTATAGCTTCGCACCCGCAATTCTGCACGCTGTTCACCCGACATGTCGCTACCGAATCCGTACCAAAGCTCAGTTGTTTCATGATAAGAGGAGGCATCGGGAAGTAAAGAAGAGGTGGCCAGTGATGCAAGGATGAAGCGAAAAATCTATGAGAATGGCCTGAAACCTGCAACGTGGGATCTCATTCTCCTTGAGACAAATTCTCATAGCGCTGTTGTCACCAACCGGTGAATCGTAATTTCTGCTTCTCTGCTAAACTCGGCTACCATTCCAAAGCAGGGATCTCGGCACTCGGAATGGACGTGTAAGAGCCGAAAATGAGCGTTTGCGGCAGATCAACTGGTTTGTTTCGTGAAATATCAAACGAGGAGGGGGGTGCTTCGCTTAGTTGGACAGAGAGGTCGTAAGCTCAAGGGGCCGTCACAGAATTTCAAGGTTTCAAAGCACAGCGAATTGGCGAATGAGTACAGACTTCGAAATACCACTACTAAGAGCAGCAGAGGGCATGGCGCAACCCAGAGCATGAGTTCAGTTCGCTTAAAACTACCACAGATTTTTCCAGAGTTATCAAGATGTTCTCAGACTGCATCAGAGTTTCGGAAAGTGCAAAGAAGTTGGCGGATTGACCTCTAGAGCCGTAATAGTAAATTCTGATAGAAAAATTCGTTTGAAAGCTTTCAAAATCAAATTTATTTATCAAGATTGTTATTGTAAAAATAGCAATGCCCAATCACGCGCTCCACTGTAAAGCCAATCTTTGAAGAACTGTTGGACGGCCAAAGATTAGAACCACAGCGATTTCAGAAACGGGGAAAAAATTAACAATGGGATACCTTTCAGAGAGTGATCTTGAAAAAGCCTGAATTGCTTTCCCGTTTGGTTACGAAGAAAGTTATTAACACCTGAGTGTTGGAAACTCTTGTGCGCTCCACACATGGAACAAGTGGGCGATTTTATTGAAATTTATTTACACAGCTATTTAGAGCTATTTTTTGAGATTTATTTTTTTGAAGATTATTTATTTCCACAAGCTATATTTACCAGCTTTTTAGAAAGAGAACAAGTTGGATTTACAGATTTGAATTTCTCTTCATTTAAAATCATAGGGAAAGAAAGATTCTAAATAGAGCCGTAGCACTTCACGGTTTGCCTTCACTTAGGTTAGTGGAAGATATAGATTTTGTCTTTTCAAAATAGCTCGGTGGTCTTCTGGCTTGAGTTGTTTATGATAACAAACACGTCTTTTTATGCAGAATGTTGCAAATACCCCTATTTGATGAAAATTTCATATCATCAACATCGATTCACACTCTCTGTGCGAGACAGAACGAGAGACAGAACGAGACTGCACGGTAGAGCGCCACGTAACTTCCACACTCCGTTCACAGCTCTTATGATGTCCGCAAATCGATGTGGAAATAAAAAACATGTTAGAAATTCTATATAGGGTATACAAGTGGGATGGACTGATATCCTCGAAGGATAGATTTTAAAGTTGGCAAAAGGACGGCTGACATCGGCCGCCTGCACGGTCCTACTAGGCCACTAGTGGTGTACCTCTTGCTGAAACATGAAACGTTCCGCACCTAGGAGGGTCTGCCTCCCTGTTTAATAGGTATCTTTCCCCTTCTCAACCCAATTTACCGTGGCATGTGGTACCTAAACTGTACTATTTCGAAT